GTTTAAAAGATAATTGAGGAGCATGGTAATAATATGGAAATGTTCTTCTTCTAACCAAGCTACTTATCCATAGAAAAGTCTATCTTTTGTTGCTTCTTTTTTTTCTCTGTAATCACCAAGGTGACTATATAACAGATCATACTAGATAAAAATATGTCGGATAGAAAATGACGTCAATATAAAAACCTTTACTTGAAATAAAACACTACATATCCGTGCACACATATCATTTCAGCATGATATATCTAGTAAAAAAAAGTGTTTCTACAATTTTCAAAGGAAGGATATCTGACTAAATATGATATTTCTATCGAAGGAATAGGAATCAGAATTCGAATTTCCAAATTAACCATGATGGATATTGACAACTTAGTTCTTGTTGAATTATGTTACAATTGAGGAGAAAACTATCTCTCAAGTTCTTTTTACCTGACAAAAGTAGTCAATATAGATAAATAAAGAAAACCATAATTCATCAGGGAAACAAGTAGAAAAATCAATTTTTTTTTCTTCACAAATATCTTTCTTCAACTCGACATATATGATAGCATATTATACTCTATACAACCTTCGCAAATACCACTACCATTTATCAGAACCCTGCTAGAAGATTTCCGCTGAGTATGTAATAGTTCTTGTGAGAAAAATCTTCAACAACACACTATCTGGCCGTAGCAAATACTTCATGTGACGCAGGAGTATATCAGACTGATGTATTTATATTACTCTCACTGGCAAGACCATTGAATCCTAATGATCTCAAACATATAAGATTTCACTGGTAGAACGAGTGAATTTCTTTATCAATTTGTTCATGAATAATTTTACTGAAAAGTGTAGACAAAATATAAATGTTTTCAGAAAAATAATTAAATAGTTACATCAATGAAAAACTATTTTGTACCTTACTTTTCTTTAGGATTAATTCTGAATTTGAACAATGATTGATAAAAACATTCTTCTCGTATCAGTTAATCGATAGAATTGTGAAAGACGCGTCAAATAAGAGCTTTCTTCGCACTTCAACATAAAAGAAGACGAAGAGAACTTCATTTTTCTCTCATAAAGATATCTTCGTGGAAGAAGTTTTTTTTTCTTTTCCAACAGTCATACACCATTTAACTTCCTCTTTCTATTTATTCTACCAAAATATCAATGAAGCTGAACACACAGTAGAATTGAAAATACTTTTCTTCTTCTTCAATGTTCATCAGGCAGTCAAAGAAAAAATGAAATAGAATAGAAATAAGTTCTCCGAAAAAAAATAATCTTGGCAATTATAAACGATTGTTTTTTTTTCTAGGTAGAAGTCCGTTGAATCTTTTCACGAGATCAACAAGAAATTGTTCAGTTGATCGATGAGAACACCAATTCAGTCAATGATATCTTTATTAAAGCATTGAATCTATCGAACGAAAAGACATGTTGCTAAATCAACCAGTGAATGTTGATTAACAATGTGATAGGAAATGGTGTATACTCGGCACGACTTTCAAGCTTCGTCGACGAGAAGTAACAAACAATTCTATGGCGTACTGCTTTGTTATGATTTATTTTTATTTCATCTATTAGAGAAAGATGCAGTTGATTTCAATCAAAGCAATCAATGATTATTTTCCTCAAATCATTGTTCTTAGCAGACGAGAAAATCACGTCAGCCTTCTAACGACTACATTCATTGATTGAACTTTATTGATCGAAGAAAGCATGTACGATCACGATCTTTGTCAAGATTGAAGTTGTCTTTAACTGTATCTTGAAACATTGCGTCAGAATCAGGTTTATAATTTATTTCAAATTTGAACTGATATTCTAGCAACAGTGAACCATCTACATAGAAGAATTTTACTTGAGAACTAAAACCACTTGTCTGTGAATAAATAGAAGCGTCACTCTACGAAGACATTAGATCAATCAAAAATAAATTACATATCGGACATATGCTTCCTCATTGTGATACGCAAATGTCTTTAGAATTCTCTACAGTTTAATAAATATTTGTTCGAGTAGAACTTAAAGAAGTTGACGTTAGGATAAAGGAATAACATTATCTGTCAACAATGGCAATAGTTTGACGAAGTATGATAGAGTCATTTCATTTACGTAAGTGTAATCAACTAGTTCTATCGATAAAAGGCAAAGTTATTATTCAATAAGTATGATGAGTGATGTTTGACAAAAAATAACTAGTAACAATGCTGATGGAAGAACACCACTGATTCGTTAGTTGTTCATCAATCATCGAAATATAATGAAAGTTAAATATTTGTAAGAATGCTGTTGATATGAAGATTGTAATTATGTCGTTCTACATTGACGAAAGCAAACAAAAGAAACAATAACAATGAAAATTGAGAATCATCAATTTCTTTTTGTGTTATTTTATCAAATAATGATGAGGAAAATTGTGTCACAGTTTATCGCCAACAATACATGTTTCTTTGCCATTTGGTGGCATTTATAAACTATTTCTATTGTCAACGAGAATATCCTGAGTAAGAACAAGTTGTTTTCTTTGCCATAAATAGTCCATCGTGAAACATGAATTCTTTCATAAATAATCTTACGTTGTTATTTCTATGAAAAACTAGCAAAATTGCTATTGTCTATGGATGTATAATTGCTTCAAGAGTTAGCAAGAGAAATTAATTAGTTTTCTTTAGAAAACATTTGTCTTAATCGAAAGAACTGATGAAATAAATTCAGATAAATTGAAAACATTTTTTTTCCATGATTGAATTAAAAACAGTAATGAAGAATATATCTTTTTAATCATGCAGCGCCGTCTTTTTTATTCTGTTAACAATATCAAATATTTTATCTAATCCGATTATTCATGCATGACTTCAACATGCCATGCACATTGTCACAATGAAAGAGAGAAAAACAAGGAAACATGTGATGCTGAATGCAAATTGACGACATGTCTAAGGTAGAGAAGAATATAAAGAAAGGAAAAAAGTCTACAGACAAGAATGAATAATCAAAGAGAAATAAACCTGCGTTATGCTCTTGTAAGAGTTAGTGGGTAAGAAAGATTATAAATTTGAAAGCATTTGCTAATGAATTGTTACTTGAGAGTGTGGGTATAGCGAAGACTCTCCCATGCACACGCACCTGTGTATCATCGATCTTCAGAAACCATGAACATAAGTAGAACTCGATAAATAGATGGAAGTTTATGCAGTATAATTTCAACAATCATCCAAAATTTAGGGTCATGAATTTAAGAGAATGAAAGAGCAACGGATGCTATTATGTTGTGCTTGTGCAATTCTTGAAATTCTTGTCACATTGGTAGAGTGTGTAGTAACAAAAAAAAATACCGCAAGCGTTTATAAGTAATTAATCAAATATATTGCTGGATGTGGGTGTGGGCACAACGAGGCTTTTGACACTCACATCCACACCCTAATTTGTTTGATGAGGAGTGGTCTATTTCACGAATATAAAGATTACGTATAAAATTTGAGAGAATTCTGTCGAGGTCGAGGAATCCGATTCTATTAGTTATTTCTTAAAGTTCTTGAGCTTAATTTTTTCAAAAAGCCACTTATATGGATTCAGATTCCTCGATCTCGAACGCCTCTAACCAAAGATCGTTGTGCATCTTCATTATCTCGAAATAGGCTTTTTTTGGTTGAATAATAAAGCTCACTGCGTTCTCGTGATCTGTCAAAGAGCGACTGGCCAGTCTCGGTAACTTTTCGTGCACTGATGCTACTAATCTAGCAGATACTCAAATAATCATATATTGTCTCGATTTTTGATGGAATAATTTAACTTTTTTGCTGGTTATTCAAGCAGTCGGCTTATTCGGATAATTCTTCACTCAGAAGTATGCAGAAGATTTATTGGCTAAGTAATGAAGTATCATCTCTCATTTCGGTGATAGAACAGCACATCAACATGCGTTTTTGCACTAAAAGAATTAGGGAATACGATGGATAGGAAAACAAAGATTGAAAAGAGAATTGTTCGTATAAAAAACCTGTTTTTCTTCGTATGTCGTCTATAATTACGCTTCTGTCGATCTCCACAACTGTAAAATTAACGTTGTCGCAATAATACCAAAATATCAGCAGAAAAAATGGAAGAAGAAGACAAAAAGTACAATGTGATTAATAGAGCAATATGTTAAATTAAAAAATAAGAAATACGGATTATTCAGATGACAGTCCAAGTCTTTTTCATCTAAACAGAATACTTCCATAATAGGCTCTAGCAATAACCAAAACCATCGTATATCTACTATGCACTTAAGCAGTAGAACTCAAAATTTGTTTTTCTGGGATCAAACATTTGTCTAAGATAAAAGCTTCAAAGAAGAACAGCGTTTCAAATTTTTTGGACAAAAACTTAATTATTCAACGGTCATTTCGTCACGGTGCTCCTGACCAGTTAGAATGCTTATACAAGTTTCTAATCCGACCATAAGACAGAACGCAAAAAAGTGTGTTTAGATCACTTTCTGTTCAAATAAAAGTCAAAATTACTGTTGGCTAAAAAAGATTCAGAAGAGACTTTCGTGATGGAATCTCCTTCATCAATTTATTACCTTTAAAAATGTAAATAAATATTTGTAGAAAGGATGAAACACAGTCCTTTGCCACAATTGTATACTCTGCGGAAAGTACTCTTAGTTCTAGTAAAAGGTTCTGAAGAAAGCATATTTTCTTATATGAAAACTCCGAAATCAAGAACTAATAGTAAAATGAACCTTGTATTACTTCTCAGACAGTTTCTTGAACCCATACTCTCATTCACATCCTCAGGTCGAAATGTTCGGTCTGCAAACATTTATGCAAAGAAAATACGATATTGCTTTAAAGTATTTCTTGATACTACTTGATAATAGTCAAGCAATAACATAAAGAACTTGGTTCAAGTTTCTTTGAATTGTTATAACTATTACAAAAATGGATTAAACCTTAGTTGAAAAAATCTATTTATTCAAGTTCTATATTAGTTTTATATGATGAAGAATTTCATGTAATGTTTTATTGGTCAAGTTTAATAGTAAAAAGAGGATCACCAGCATTAATCAATTGATTAGGTTTTATATAAATATGATACAATTTACCATTACAATCAGATATAATTGTTATCTCTGTTTTCATAGCCTGAATAGTACAAAGAATTGTTTGATCAACAATTATTTTATCATCATTATGAACAGATATTGATTGAATTATACCACCAACCATAGCATAAATAATTTTATGATTATCATCTAATTCTTGCAATTTTTTTTGTTGTGAATCGTTTAATACTTCATTATAATAATAATTATTATTATTAGAATCAATTTCTTTTAATAATTGTATTTCTATTTGCTGCATATGTTTTTGAGCAATATGTTGTTTTTGTTTAAAACTCAATAAATCTTCATCAAGAGAGTCTTCTAATTGTTTAATATCATTTATATTTAATATTGAATCAGTAATTTGATATTGATATTTACCAGCAAAAGCTAAACGACGTAAATTTTGTAATTGCAATTCAGTAACACATTGAAATTGAATAATATCAAACATGTTCAATAACCAAGGTTGATAATTTGTAAATGGATATCCAATTGTACCAAATGTTGACCAAGTTTGTATTGTTCTTCCAAACAATTGATAGCCACCTGGACTTTCAATAGGATAAATTGCCATATAATTACCACCAAG